CCACGGACCAGCAACGACAGTGCTACCAGGGCGCGGCGGGCTGAGCTCTGACGAGCCAAAGGCCTATAAAGTGTCGCAAGGCCTGACGACGGCGCTGTGACATGGCGAGCGTAAACCGCTATTAAATAAGTTCGCTTGCCACCACTGCCTTGTGGTTAGGCTATTGAGCCAAAACGCTAGATGGGACGACCTCAAATAAGCAATGCTGTTCGGGACCCGCTCGTACCCAAATTCTCAAGACCCCTCATGCACAATATGTCCGACAACTATGTTACGATCCATGCTACAGCGTCCGCGGAAACCGACGCGCTTCGCAACCCTTATCTAGTGGTGCGGGCGAATAGTATGCGAGCTGGACTACTCAATGAAAATCGGACTCTTGGTACTGGATGCTGGAATATGCGATCGTTCCTAGCCCCTGGTACCCAAAGCCTGATCGTGCGCAGCCTTTATCAATGCAACGTAGATGTCTGCTGCCTCTCCGAAGTCCGACTTCCTAACTCTGGCGCTCAAAACATAAAATTTCCTGGAGCTATCTCCCACTTCATCTCATACCACAGTGATCCTCATGACTCCTCCGGCAGACATGGTATGACAATTGCCCTCTCTCAACCAGCGAGCCGTGCACTACTTGCCTGGGGACCAGTCAATGAATGCATGGCTTATGTGCCCTTGAAGGGCCACTTCACAAACATATCTGTGGTCGCGGTGTATTCACCAACGTCCGCTGCTGACCAGCGTGATAAAAACATGTTTTACTCATAGCTACAAACATTGGTTGGAAGGCTCCCTCGCCGCGATCTGCAGATTGTTGCTGAGGATTGTAATGGCCGGACTGGGCCGGATAACTCCACAAGCAGCCATCTTATCGGCCGCTTTGGGCTTGGTTCCCGATGTGAGAATGGTGACAGATTGCTGAACAGAACCGACTGTTTTTAACGAACGCGTGCTTCCAGCCCCGCAACAAACACTTACTGACCTGGCACTCCAACGACGGCCATATGGCCAGTCAGATTGACTACATTTTAGTCAGTTCAAGATTCCGGAGCTGGGTTCATGACAGTCGGTCGCTGCGTGATGCTGAGACTGGTAATGCCCATGGCTCTGACCACGTTCTTGTTCGTACACGCTTGAAAGCTCACCTCTCATCTGCACCCAAAGTGCCCCGCGCTAGACGCCTCGATGTCGCCAAAATCCGGCAGCCCAACACCACTGAGGCCCTAAGCAGAGAAATCCGGTCCTGTTTCACGAACCGCGCCGACAACGAAGAGGGTAACCCATGGTCCTTACTGAAAACGTCAGTCTATGGAGTAGCCAAGAAACTTATTGGATGCACCCAGCGGCGCCACAACAATTGGATCAGCGTGCGGACCTTGCAGTTGTCTGCGGAGACAGCCCGAGCTAGGGGCCGTAATGATGATTCTTCCCGCCAACTAAGAAAGATGACAGCAAAATCGGCCAGAGAGGACCGAAAGAAATATTGGGCTGAAATCGCAACTTCCATGGAGCAGGCCTTAAACGTTGGTGATACTCGAAACCTCTACCAACTTATTCGCAAGGCTAGCGGTAGGCTGTCTTCGCTGAGTGACTTAGTTCGTGATGTGAATGGCAGCTTTATTGCTGACAACGCGACCAAGATCGAACGCTGGCCTGAGCACTTCGAGCACCTCCTCAACTTTGATACGGAGTCCACCGCCCCCCTGCTCCCATCCACAGCAGAGCCGCCTGCATTTTTCACTTATCCAGTGTCATGCGACCCGCCTTCTGAAGGAGAAATCGCCGATGCATAAAAAGGCTGCGCAACAATAAGGCACCCGGAGAGGACGGCATACCCTCTAAAATCTACAAGTCTTGTATCGACGCTTTG